ATTGCTAACACTTTGTGGAGAAAGTCACTTCAAGACTACAACTGTTGGGTAAATAAATAATGAGACACTTCCTGGAATCTTACAGGCCATGGAGGGAGAATTCCAAAGGAGCTGAAAACAGTCTGGGAAAGTGGCGTTGTTACAACTTTTTCTGTTTCTTCATGACTTATGGAGGAACCATAGAACTCCCAAGTCTTCCTTTTTTCATTTTCCAGTATTTTATTAAATGGCAATGACACTGTGTCAGTGTCTAGCTTGGGCAGGAAACTAGCAGTCTGCATGATTCAGGATTTATGATGGTTGATTTTATGTGTCAGCTTGTCTAGGTAATAGTTCTTTAATCAAATGGCAATCTAAGCATTACTGTGAAGTTGTTTCAAACATGGTTAATATCTACTATCATTTGACTTTAAATTAAGTAAATCATTATTCCCAGTAATGAGGGTAGGGGTAAAGACTGGGGGGGAGGGTATGGATTTGGTTGAAGGGCTTCTTAAGAGCAAAAACGGAGGCTTTCTAGAGAAGAAGAAATTCTGCCTCAAAACTGTAGCATCAATTCCTTCCTGGATTTCTAGCCTAAATTTCACACTGGCCACCCCCACAATCACATGAGCCAATTCCTTAAAATAAATCCCTTGATATATATTGGTTCTGTTTCTCTGGAGAACCCTGCCTGATATAGAGTGCATTGCATTTTCCTTTTGTTTGTCTTAAACAGTTTTAAGGCAAGAGTCTGAAAGAGTGATTTAAAAACAACACACACATGCATGAGCACACACACACACACACACACACACACACACACATACGGAGTCTACGAGGTTGAGAAAAGAAGCCTATGGGAGGGGTAGGAAGCATACTGGCATTTGTCATTCTTTTCATTTGAACTTCATTTAGTATGCAGAGGGAGTGGCCAGTTCTCTTCGATATGATGGAAATCTTTCTCATCATTCACACACATCTCCATCTTCTGGGCTCCAACTTACACTTCCATCCTGCTCCCTAAACCACACCTGACAGTCCTCCTCACAACCTTCACTCCTCCAGCCGTTACCCATCTAGGTAGCCTCATCCTACTGGTACTTTCTGCCACATTTTCTCTTTCTGGAAGCTTCTTCACTCAGTTTCTGTGGCACTGCTCTTTCTAGTTCTCATGTGTCCATCTGCAACTTCTCTCCGTCTCCATCCCTCTCTCTCTCTCCACCAGGCCCATAAATATTGGGATTCTCTGATTCTCTTTCACTGAACACACACTTGTTCAGTGATCTCTTTCTGCATATGGCTTCAATGGCCTCCTAAATCTTGATTTCTAAGTCCTATTATATCCTGGAACTCCCCCTCATTCTTCAACGGTCTACAGGGCTTTCCCAGCAGGATCTCCGAAGGATCCTCAGACAAGACATATTCCCAAATGTACCAGTTATTCCTACCTCTCTGCACTTGATCTCAGTCGGTCCGCCTTCTGTTCACTAGACGCCTAAGCTAGGGAATCTCCCCTAATAACAAGTCAGTCATTTTATTCTCATGCCTGATTTTAAAAGCAATCCAAATACTACTTTATTCAAGTGAATGAAATTGGATTATTCTGAAGCATAATCATTATTTCACGTACATGATTTCTGTAATGGGATAGTTGGTTGCCTCTGGCCCTAGATAACACATGGCATAAGTAAGATGTGCACCTGTGTTTTTAATTAAAAAAAAAAAGTTTCATGGACAATTGAGAGGCACAGTAAATCTGTTAGTGGGGCTTTGGAGAAGTCCGTGGTACATCTATTTGTCCATGCAGGCTGCTACAAAACCTAGGCGGTTTCTCAGCAATAGAAATGTATTTCTCGCTGTCCTGGAGGCTGGGAAGTTTAAGATCAAGGTGCTGGCATGTTTGGTATCTGTGAGGGCTCACTTTCTGGCTCATAAGTGATTGTCTTCCTGCTGTGTTCTCACATGGAGCAGAGGAGCAAGGGAGCTCTCTGGGGTTTCTTTTATATAAGAGCTCCAGTCTTTTATAAGGGTTCTGCCCTCATGATCTGATCACCTACCAGAAGCCCTGTTTTCTAATATCATGTACTGACTGGGAGGGCGGATAGAATTCCGGCATATGAAATTTGGGGATACATGAACATTACATCTACAGTAGAGTGCATCCTTATGGGTGAGTGAGTAACAAGATGTAGTGGAAGAGGTTGGCATAAAACACACCTCAGGGGGACTTGAGGCCTTGGTAAGGATTTAGTTGTCATCCTAAGTACAATAGAAAACCATTGATAGGTTCAAGAAAAGATTTTGAGATGATAAAATCAATACTGTAGAAGATTAAGCACCATTTGGGGCAAGATTCAATGACCAAACCATATTTGGTCATGTGAGATCCAACTCCCTTAACCACTATGCTACAGGACTGGTCCAATGCATCTTTTTCTTTAATATATAATATTTAATGGAAGGAGAAAGTGCAGGAGGCCATAAGGTAAAGAGGCAAATGAACCTTCATATGCCAGACCTCCAGGCCCCTCAGCCCTCCTTCTAGCATCAACTGTGTTACACCATTTTTGTCTATCTTCTAAATAAATTGTACGCATTTACAAAGTCTACACTTTTTTAATTTTAATTTTTTAAATTTGTTATTATTATTATTTTAGGATTTTTGGCATAGGTAACGTGCACTTGCCAGAGAGAGACAGACAGAAGGAAAGTGGGAAAGTAAAAACTTACACACTAGGGAGGATGGCCACACTGCAATCCCTTCTATGTTCTCCTCTCAGGATTGTGGGCATGCACACACATACACCTAGTATAATTTTTCAAGCCACCGGGTCCAGTACTAGAACCATGGTCAGTAATGTGGGAGTTCAGAACCTTAAACACCACATCAGGTGCTGGCCCTTACACTCTTTTTGGATAAAAATGCCACGTACACTATTTCACATCTTGCTTTCTAAAAACCTAATAGTAAATTTTGAAGATTATTCCTCATCAGTATATAAAGTCTCACCTGATTCTTTAAAAAGCTGCACAGTCTTCCAGGGCCCAGCTGTATCATTGTTTATTAGGCTAGTATCTTGTTGATGGGCATTAGGTAGTTTCCAATCTTTTACAACCGCAAACCAAAGTATACAAATACTTTGTTTTGTATATACCTCTTTGTATAGGTTATCTGTGTGATAAATTTACAGCAATGCAATTGCTAAGTTGAAGGGTATGGGCATTTAAAATTTTAAACATATTGTCAAACTGCCATCCCATAAGTCTATATCAATTTGCTTTCCACTGAGAATGTATGAGAGCTTCTGTCCTCTCACAGTTCTTAGAGATGTGCCAATTCAGGATGCCCTCCTGGATTGGTTTTGCCCTGAAAAGAGTCCACTATTTTTGTATGACTCAATGACTTCCATGATTGTGGGCCACTCACACTCCTCTTCCAGTTGCTATAATTTTCATAAAAAGCTCAACACTGAGTCTCCCATTGTGGCCATGTCACGAATACATAGCTCTGTTCTCAAGTGCAGCTGCTAAGCTGTTTCTCCCACTTTGTAGCAGGCTATTGAATTTCTATACACAAGTTGCAGAAGTTTTCATTTATCTGTGTCAATTACCTTTTACTGAAATAACAAATCACCACAAATTTGGTGCCTTAAAATGACACAAATTTATTTTCGCATTATAGTTCTGTCGTTTGGAAGTTCCAACTGAGTCTCACTGAACTAAAATCAGTGGTGTCACAAGGCCGCATACCTTCTGGAGGCTCTAGGGGTGAATGCATTCCTTTGCCTTTTCCAGTTTCTAGAAAGCACTGGTATTCCTTGGCTCATGGCCCCTTTCCATCTCACAGACTGCAGTGCCGCATCTTCAGATCTCTCTCTGACTCTGATCCCTGCTTCCAACCTCACATTTGCTTCTTTGACCCTTCTGTGTTCCTCTTCCACCTTCTAAGGACCTTGGGATTACATTACCTACCTAAATAATGCAGGGTAATAGCCCTACCTTAAGCGTATTAACCTAATCAGGTCTGCAACATCCCTATTGGCACTTGAGGTACCATATTCTCAGGTTCTGGGAAGTAAGACATGGACGTTTTGCAACATCCCTATTGGCACTTGAGGTACCATAGTCTCAGGTTCTGGGAAGCAGGACATGGACGTTTCCAGGGAGTTATTATTCTGCCAAGCACAATCTTCATTAAACATCCTCTTGTTATAGGAGATTGCATCAAATTCTGCATGGGCATGTGTGGGTTTCAGTGAGGGTCTAAGTATATTAAGCTGAGCATCTTTTTTTTTTTTTTTTTTGGTTTTAGAGGTTTTCGCTATAGGGCACGTGTGCTCGCCAGACAGACAGAGAGAGACAGAAAGACAGAAAGCGAGAAATCGCCCCCCAGGGGGGATGGCCACGCCATCCCTTCTCCTCCATTCTCCTCTCGGGATCTTGGGCACGCACGCACACGCACCCGGTGTGAGTTTTAAGCTGCTGGGTCTGGGACTTGAACTGCGGTCAACTATGTGGGAGTCCAGCGACATAGCCATTACGCTAACTGCTGGTCCCTAAGCTGAGCATCTTTGGGGCTAGACTAGAGAGCTACAAGAACAAGTAATGTATGGGCATACAAAGCATAGAGAACATTTATATCCAGTATTAGAGGGGTAAACTGAGGCTCATGGAGCTTTGGGCATGGCTAAAGTCACACAGTGATAAGTGCCAATGAGGCTCTTCCAGCTCCAAATCCATCACACTGTCCACTGTGTCAGTTGCATAGGAACCATGCTATTAGCTCACATGAAGTCCCCAGTAAAAGTCCTGTAGAACATTTTTCCTTTGGGTTTTGGGAACTTCCCTAGGTGACTAATTTGAGTTGGAGGAATGACTCTTATCTAGCAATTTACAGAACTTATTTTCATGACCTAATGAGGATTCCTGACAGCCTCATTGGTTGAGCTGAGTAGACTGTGTCTCCATATCCCTGATAATCCACAGTAGATGTAGACCAAGAGTGACAGGGTTATGGCCTAGGCCACAGAGTTAGCAGCTGAAACTGAAACCCACAGCGTTCCTCTGAGCCACACTTTCCCGTCCAGAGATGCTGCCCTGGGAGGGCTAGAAATTCTAAAAATTCTGAACACCATCCTCACTCCAGAGAAACTAGAGATTAAACAGGGAACTAAAATGAATGAAATGCCTATTTCTGCTCACACCTTCCCAGGTAGCTCATTTAACCTTTCTGATAGGTTAGCTACCATTATCACCATTTTTTGGATGGTCGCTCTGAGAGGTTAAGGTCACAAAGATGACAAGTAATGAGCTCCATTCTAGGTTGTTCTAATTACATAGTCCATGAACTTCGCCACTCACTCATGCTGGAGAAGCTACAAAACCAGAGTCCAGGGTGAAAACAAAACTAGCACCTGCTATGCAATACTGCAGTAAGAAGCCCATGCATGCCCTGAGGTAGGTTTACAGCTGATTAGATTAAAGTGCAGGCAGCTGGAGGGAGAGGCAGGGAGAGAAAGTGGAGGAAAACTGTCCTCTGGCTGTTGTCCAGCAACCTGCAGCCATGAAGCATAACCAGAGCTCTTTCCCGCCAGCAGGAGAAAGACAAAGCACCGGCAAGTGTTGGGATGTGTGAGGGGAATGGCAGAGCCAATTACCAGGTAAAGTCACCAAACAAATAACTAGCTAGAGGCTTGTCCAGAAATGTCCTCATGGCTTCTTTGATTACCATTTATCTGAGATGTGCTTCATTTCAATTTTTCCTTCAATTTAGATCCCATCTGCTGTTCCGTTTGCCTGGGCCCACCGCTAGAGACACAGGCATGCAATTACCCAGCTCCTACGCATTTTCTTGTTCTCTTTCTCTTTGGGTTTAATTTCCCTGAGAGGCTCTGCCTTGAGCTTGCTTTAAAACCTGCAATTACCAGGAGGCACCTAATGAGACTGGGAGCAAACTTCTGTGCTGCACAGCGATTTTTTTTTTAATGGGATAAACAGGGGAAAATGTCAAACAGAGGGATCTCTATGTTGCTCCCCAGCTTGAAAGGGTACCCAGCATTCCCCCAAAAAACCATGCTGTGATCAGCACAGGCTGTCATTCATGGAGTCCTAGGGTTTCTTGACATGGCCTGAGTTGTGTGACTAGATTTCACCCAGCTGAGGGCCCACTGGCCAGCACTCCCAGGCCTAGAACGCCTCCTAGTCATGGTCAAATGAGAAGTGCCCCTGGAATATCATTAAGTGTGTAGGCAGAGCTCTGACCTCAGCCACTGCATGGCAGCATTTCCAAGAGAGGTTAGTTTTAGTCCCCAAACACATTGTTGGGTGATGACTTGGACTGTAGAAATTGTAAACAGCATGTGTCATAATAGATATTTTGACTTGGAATATAGCATTCTCTGCAGCTCCTAATGTCTGCAGAAACTCAAGGGGTGACAGAAAAGTCTGTCAAGAAAGCATCATTTACACAGTGTAGCTACTAACAGAAAATGAATTTTAGAAAACATTTATTTAGTGCCCGCTAGGTACCTAGCACTGTGCTAAGTATTTAAGATATGGGGAAGAGGATAGGGATGGGAGAGGAGACAGAAGTGATATGTAACATAGGAGCCTCTGTACTTACTGTGCAGAATTAAAATAATGATACATGTAGTCAAAACAGACAGGGGACACAGGACCCAGTATTTGCAAGGTGGATTAGCAAACACTCAGACCCAGCCATTAGTTGCCAGTGAGCCTGACTCCATTAATTAGTGATCCATGGCTCCCATGCTGGAGCAAATGCTCTAAAAGTATAAACTCGTTGACACAATAGCTATGCTCTCTTACTTCTAGGAAGGCAGAACCAAGAAGGCTGAGGACAAGTGGGAAAAATGATGGAATAGGAGAGGGGGCAGAAAGTATCAGTATATGAGTGTATGTGAATGTAAGTATATGAATGTAAGTGCCCTTGCTCAGGCCTGAAGATAAAAGCATTTGAATTAATAGGGCTTCTACATGTACATAACATTTGGCCCTCAACAACAAACGTGTAAAGTAGGTGTTATTGCTTCCTTTGTACAGTTGAGGAAGATGAGAAAGGTGGAGTGGGTTGTCCAGGTTCACACAGCCAGCAGACTTTCATGCCAGGGCTGAACCAGGTTTTCTGTCTGCAGTCCCACAGGTGGTACACTCTAGTAAAGAGCTCTGAGCTTCCTTTGCAGGGCCTATGATGTCCTTCCCATTTCTACATGCCCAGGGCCCTTCCTCTTTGGGGGGAAGAGCTGGCCAGTGTCATCTCTTGTTTTGTGAGTGCCCCTCTCTTCCACCCATCAAACATCAAGAACCTTTGTTATCTGATCATTGATTTAGCTCCTATTCCTTCACTTTGACTAGCGCTAAACTTCTGCCCTCAATGGCTGAGATGGCACATGAGACTGCATTTATGGAAATTCCCTCAGCCACTGAAAGCACTGTGTCTCCAAGAAGATCAGATGACTTGGGG